CTGCAGCAAGAGTTCAATCTCCCGTCAAGGAGCTGACCCACATGGCACAGCAGACCTCTCCTGTCTCCCCCGCTGCTCCCCTCAGCAGTGTACTTCAGTAGATCCGCCTGTTCTGCTCCCCACTTTGTCTCTGGTGAATCCTCTCACCTCCCTGTATCTCTGGCCTACACCCCAGCTCTTATATGCATAAATTAATAAATCTTAAAAAAATAAAATAACAATGAGAGACAACCTTACACCTGTAACTATTGATAGTAGCTGCTTTTCTAAGGATGCACAGCAAAAGACACTCAGAAGTTATTTGTGCAAGTATGAAACATTACTGTGAAAAAACTTTAAAAGTAAGCTTTATTAAAATGATGTATACATGTATATATGTGTGTATTTTATAAAGAGATGTAGAGTCTCACTTCTAAGTACTGACTTGACAGCTACAGGCATACAAACAAGCTGTTTCTGCAGCATGTTTACAATTGCAAGAAAAAGCAACAAAATGAATGTCCATCAACTGGTGAACGACTGAGTAAGTGGAATATTCACACTATGGAATACTAGGTACTGTCAAAAACGAATCAGAATTATACTGATTTTGGGGGGGAATTTCCTTGAAGTATTTTTGAATAAGAAAAGCAAGACGCACAAAAATATAAATAATGCAATGCGGTTTTTATTATACAATGACAGTATTTGCAGACAATTTAAATGCACCTGTCAATGATTTAAAAAAATCATACGAATATGTGAATGCTGATACAGATTACCTGGGGTCAAAGGAAAGGGTTGGTGCAAGCTGGCATGGGTGGGACAGAAATGGAAAAGGGAGACAAGCCTATTTCACCTCTCCCCCCAAAATTAAATTAAACAGCAGGGACGTTGGAATTAGACCCTCTTACTTTGCAACCTAACTAGCCTCCTACTCCCACAATTCTTGACTCCTGGGACTCTGACCTTGACTCCTTCGACATTATTATATGTGGCTTCCATATTTTTCTCCATGATTCTAGAATGGAGCAGGCATGGCACTGAGGGGGAGGGGAATCCAGCAGGGCCCCAGTGTAGGCGACTAATTTCAGTGGGCAAAAATGAGTTTCTGGGTCCAGAATGCAGCTCTTGTTGTCCCCAGGCATTTTGCAAGTTCAAGGGAGTGAATGGAAGAGGCTGGAATGAATATTGTCTTATGCATGCAATGTCCTCTTTCAGTTAGGCTTACAGATTACATCCTTGGAGAGGACTTCTCTGAGCTTGTCCATCTCAATTATGTCTTGTTTTGCTTCCTTAACATAATTTGCTTTCTGTCTTTATCCACATGTGTGTATTTAATGGCTATTTCCTTCAATAAACAATGAGGACCAGGAGGGGAGGGGTCTTGTAAGAACAGCCCCTTAGCGTGTGGAGGCACTTAAGTTGAATTCAGTCATTTTCTTACTCACTTATTCTCTTTTTCATTGACTCACTTTTATTCACTCCTTCATTCCCTTATTCATTCCAGAAACATGTGCTATTGGCCAATGACATTTCCCTTCATCTGAGTCTTCCACTTTCTAGGGTGACTTTTGTTGGGGGAGGTGGGAGTGGGGACATGACTGCAGAATTCCAGGAATGTATCCACAGCTTGAGAGAGCTGGGTGAGTCAAGGGTTCTCCAGAGAAGGGAAGATTCCAGAAGCCTGGAAGGTCAGAGCAAAAGGTGCTGAAGGATCAGAGAGGACGAGTTAGGAATGGGCCGTGTCTTCCCACTGCTGGCTCTTGCTCTCGCCTATGTTTTGCCTGGAAGAGCCTCCCCTCATCTTAACATGATGAGATCCCTCCCTTCCTTGCAGGCTAGCACAGATGTCCCCAAAGTCTCCCCTGCTCCTCCAGCTGGAAAGCCGCTCCCTGCTGCAAACAAACTCCCAGAGCACAAAATCTGGACCTCCCAGTGGTGCTGACCACTTCCTGCTTGTGCTTCGGTGCAGCCCCTCCCTCCACCAATAGGCAGTCTCTGTCCATCCGTCTTTCTGTCTGACAGATCTTGGGGATCCCGCAAGACCCAGGGTCCAGCACAGAGCAGATGCCGGAGCCACTCAAGCCTAGCATACAAACAACGCTGTGTGTTTCGGGGGCAGTGATGCTGACCCCATTTCACAGATGGGGAAGTGGAGGCAGACAAGTGGCATGACTTGCCCTTGCTCCCAAAGCCAAGTGGTCGCAGCGCCTAGACTCAGCCCTACATGACTGTCCCCCAGAGCCGGCCCCAGACTGTCCTCCAAGCCAGCCCGGTGGGAAGTGGAAGCAGGGTGGGGTGGGGTGGGAGCTGGGTCCTGAGAACCAGCAAGCCAGGAGATTTGGAGTTCCAATGGCCAAGTTCAGGGAAAGCACAGCTGGGGAGGAGCCAAGGTATTTATTGTGCTTGGTCTCTAGCTCCAAACAGAGCTGATGGATGGAGCTGCTCCAGTTCCTATAAACAGCTCCGGCCTCCCGCTCCTCCCTCCGCCCTCCTGTTTTCTGCCACCACAGACCCAGGTTCTCCCAGTGAGAGAAGGGTGGGAAGAGGAAATTAGGAGGGAAAGGAGAAGAGGAGCTAGGACTCCAGGGTTCTAGAGGTGAGAGGGAAGCCGAGGGAGATGGAGGTGAGAAATGGTCTTTCTTTGCCTCACTTCTGGCCACCACTGCCCCTGCATCCTCTGCACCTCCTCTGTGTCCTCTGAACCACTCCATTCTGGGTCTGAGGGTTGGGGGTAATCCCCACAAAATTTAAGTCCTAGAGGCCTGGGGCCTTTGGGTCAGGAAACTTCCCCTGAGCTCCCCCTGTGTCAACTCACAGGCCCAGGGGACACGGGAAAGGCCCGGGGAGGTCCTCCCTCTGGTGTCAGGAAGCGGATCCCGAGGCTGTGGCCAGGCAACCGGGACTGTGGAGAGCTGGAGGAGGGAAGTCAGGGCAGTCTCTCCAGAGGAGGTGATTAGGCGTTGGTTGACGGAGTTTGGCCTGTGGGCAGGGGGTGTGCTTGAGACATTCCAGGTGGAGCAGGGTCAGGAGGCAAGGTTACACTGGCTCCAGAGTGGGGCAAACCTCGGCTCTGGCACTTTATAGCTGTGGAAACATGAGTCTCGGTTTCTCTCAAATGAGGATGATAACAGAGATCTCTTCAGAGCTTGTCAGAATGAAATACCACCATGCACCCCGGGGCTCAGCGCAGTGCCTGCCCACGGTGCTGGGTGATTGCAAGCTTGTGTTGGGGCGGCCGGGCCTCAAGCCTGTCGGCTGAAGGACTACAGCAGAGAGCAGACAGCAGATCGCAGTCCCAGGGGATGAGAGGTGAGGCACAGATGGGCTGAGGGGCTGCTCCCCTCCCGCACCCCCCCTCCACAAGTCTAGCTCCTCCCAATGTCATAGCAGCTCACTGAATTGAACAAGCTGGTGACATGACACCTCAGACCTTTTGTGACAGGGGGCCTGCAGGGCCTCCCCCTCCCTGGAATTTGCCGGATGCTCTGATGACCTAGTTGGCAGCTGTGTCCACGTTTGGCTGAAAACAGGAATTTCTGCCTTGCTGGGGGTCTTGGCCAGGTGAATAAACTCCCCTGTTTTCCAGGAAAAGGGGTCAGGGACCTGGTGGGCTCCCAGCTGGGTCAGAGACCTGCAGAGCCCCCAGGATGAGCTAAACCCACGCTTCCACTTGCCCTTAGGCCTTCACTGAGTTCCTACCATGTGCTAGAGAGTTGAGTCGCACCTCCTCTCACCCCCCAACCTCACCCATGAAACAGGCATTGCAAATGTACTTGGGCGAGCAGCAGCTGGGAGCAGTGCTGGGAGGTGAGAGATCACAGACTGGAGAAGGTTGGAGAAATCTCCAGGATGCTTGGGGGGAAAGGGCAGAACATTGCTGAGCTGGGCCTTGAATCTGGGGAGAGGAGGTAGGGAAGTGAAGGCTGGACCCTGTCTAGGTGTCAGGCAGCTGCGAAGGGGAGGTGGGATCACCTGAGGACAGGTACAGGGGGCTGCAAATTGGGAGCAGGAAGCTTGCACTCTAGACTGTGACTCAGAACCCCTTCCCTGGCCCCACCCAGGTGAGGTGGCCCTTGTCCGCTCTCCCAGAGGCTTTGCCCACACCCTCACCCCCCAGCTCCCCTCCAGAAAACAGGCATGTCCTTATGCCGCTCCTGGCTCTTCTTCCAAGTTTGACCTTGATGTGCAGTAGGTGGCTCACTGCCACTCAGCTCCAGCCCGGGCAGAGCTTCAGCTCTCTAGCTGGGGAGGCCTCAGGGTGTCAGGCCTGCGCGCTCAGCAGGGATGAGGCTGGAGACAGAGAGGTGGGTGTCATCAGAGCAACAGGGCAGTTTGTACAGCAACGAGAATGTGACATTCCCAAGGGAAGAAGGCCTGGGACAGCGTTATGGTGGTCACTGCTCAGGTGGCCTAAGAGGAGTACAGAGAGGACCCTGAAAAGGAGCGGCTTGAGAGGAAGGTGAAAACCACATGTGGGGTACCCTAGATTTAGGGGAGAGTGTACTGAGGGAAGGGGTGGGTGTCAGGGAGAATGGGGGTACAGGGGCCCTCACAGCTGAAGGTCAAGGATGCTCAGTCTAAAAGGGACTGAGTTTGACAAAGGACACTGTGGGTGACCATAGCCAGGGCGAGTGGGGTGTGGAGGGTTGAAGGCAGTGTCGGGGGACAGTGTGGAGGCTTCAGTATGGAGTGGGGAAAGGGAAGCTACTTTGCCAAGAAGTTAGCCCATGAAGTAGGAGCAGGAGGGCCTTTTTACTCTTTTTAAGGTGGACAAGACTGAGCAAAGCTGTAGTCTGAAGGAGAGGCTGGAGAGAAAGGAGCATGAGGGAGGGGAGTGAGCACCCTGAGGGCACTGCCTCAGAGATACGGGGGTGGCACAGAGGAAACACGAGGCCAAGGAGCTGCAGGGCAGAGAGGGGCAGGACAACTGCTGAAAGTCGCTATTTCTCAGCAGTGCTAGTGGGGAGCAGGGCTGGCTGACTGTGGGGGACTGGAGGTGTGGCAGGGAATGTGAGGGTGGCTGAGGCCCCAGGGTCCAGGGTGGCGATGACCCAGCACCTCAGTTTCTCACCTACCATCTCCCCAGCCTGTCATGAGGACTCAAAGGCCATGGCACAAGCAGAGCAGAGCAGGCAGAAGCAGAAGCGATGGCGCCCAGGACCTGAGCAAGGAGGAGGCTGGCAGAACACCTGGTTTCTCCAAAACTGTTTTTAATACATTCATGTGGGTTATACAAAGAGCTGGTCCCGAGGCCTGGGCTGTGGCCTGGTCCCTGCGAGTGAGAGCAGCATCGTATAGTGTTCTCAAAGATCAGGCACGAAGGGGCCACACCTGCCCTCCCAACCCGAGGAGGAGTGTGTGTGTGTAGTGAGCACCAGAGGTGTGTCCCCACCCAGGACCGGCTCCACCTGGCTGTCCTGCACACCCCAGCTCTGCCACCAACTCCCCGAGTCGTAGGCCCATGCTGGGCCTCAGTTTACTCATCAATAAAATGGAGCAGAGGGAGGGGCGTGTTGATTGTCTGACGTTACTGAGCGCTGTCCTGAGCCAGCCTGCGGGCCAAGAGGGTGAAGACTGAAACACGGGCTCTTGGGCTGAGCCCAGGGCTTCCTTTCCTCCTGGACAGTCCATGATTTCATGGGCCGGGGTGGGGTCAGTTATCATGATTCAGATCTAAATGGGTTTTTACCATTTTTCTAGGTGAAAAAAAAATCCCTGCAAAATGAGGACCAGAAAGAGGGGTTGGAGCCAGCAGGATCTTAGCACGTGAAGGAAACGGCTCGGGCCCACCCTCCCCCACGCCCCAGGCACCAATGCCCATTGAGGTCTGAAGTCGCTTTTTTCATGGGCTTCACCACTGCCTCTCTCAGCTTTGTGCACACAGTTATTTTCTTTCTAAGCCTCAGTTTCCCTATTTGTGTAAGGGGGAGGAGGATTCAATGGTCTTAAATACCAGGTTTGACTTAGTGCAGAAAGAATGAGGGACACCAGAGCAAGGAGAGAAAAAGAAGAGTGCTGGTTTGCAAAGGAGGGAATGAGGGAAACTGAGGCAGAGAGGGGAGAGGCCCTGTGGCTGCCTGTCTCTCTGCCCATCTGGGGAAGAGGAGGTAGAGCAGCAGGTGGGTATGTCCAGCACAGGATGCGCCCAGGCCCTGTTCCAGCTTGTGGGGCCACTTCCTGTCCACCTGCCAGCCTGCAGCCCCCCGGGGGCCAAGCTCAGGCCCTGAGGTCAGCAGGATGTAAGTCTCAATCTCAGTTATGGCATTTCTTAATTGACAGGCCCTGGAAGGAGAATTTGGTTCTTCTGTTGTAAAATGGGAAAAAAATACCAACTTCAGAGAGTTGTCGTGAAGAGGCAGAAGTCTGCTTGGGTTTGTTACAGCTGCCAAGCCTGGTGCAAAACAGAACCAAACACCCAAGCCTCTCATTCCTGCTCATCAGCAGACCGGCGAGGGTGGGGCTGGACTGTAGAGATGGGCCTGGGTGGGTGTTGGGGGCCTGGGGCAGTATTTGGGCCAGTGTGTGCAACGCAAAGGTGCCAGGCAGGGCAAGAGCCTGCCCAGGGTGGGAAGCGTGTGGTCTGTTGTGCACCAAGGCCTTGGATGACAGCTTCTTAACCAGGCCCTGCTGGAGCTGCTGCAGCCTGCCCACGAACCCTGGATCCAAACATGCTCATGTGGCTTTCGTTCTCTCTTCCAGGCGCAAGTTCTTCATGTTCCAGAAAAGCTGAAAGTCATTATCAGAAGATGGGACAAAGAGTCTGCTTGGAAACGTCTTAGTCAAATCCTTTTGGTCTCATCCCTCCTGTGCCCTGGTCTAGCCGGGATGGGCCTCCCCGCTCTCAGCCCATGGGGGCTGCAGGGCTCTGGAGACTTGGACTTCCACATTCTCTGTGGTCACTGCAGGGTTCTATGACCACCTCCCCACTCAGACTGGGAGATGCTTGAGGGCAGGGGCCCATTTCACCTGTGGGCATTGCCGACATCTCATCCACCAGCGTGCCCAGTGCTTGGAGCAGGGTGTGGCACAAAACGGATGCCTGGTGAGGATCTGTTGATCTGATGGGTCAGCCGTATTCCTGAAGTTGCCCAACTTCTGGCTTTCACAGCTGAACCACATGTGTGCCTGGAAGTGTGTCATCTACTGATGTGGCAGGATGCAGGGAAAGGAAGCACGGGCTGGGGTTCCAGGACCCTGGCTCAGTGTGTGATCTTGGGGCAGTCCCTACCCTTCTCTGTGCCTCTGGCTCCTCCACTGACCTCTCGACGGTCTCCGGGCCGAGCTTTCCAGCAGCCTGGGCGTCTCTAGGCTTTGTACTGCTGGCTGAACTTCTGCCGACGGACGCAGCAACAGGTGGCCAGCGTGGTGAGCAGGATGGCGGAGACCAGTGTGAAGGAGAGGATGATGATGAGGTTGACATTCTTGAGCCCCCCCTTCTCACAGTCCTCGGGGCGCACATGGCTCAGGGACACCTCCTCCTGGGAGCCGAAGCGGCAGACCAGATCCTGGGTGGCATCCACGTCCACGCGGCCCCGGTGCAGCTGGGAGGCCAGCCAGCCGTTGCCGCAGCAGCTGAGTGGATTCCCCTGCAGGTAGAGGCGCCGGAGGCTGGTCTCCAGCCCTCCCATGGCACTGCCTGGCAGGAGGCTGAAGCTGTTGTTCCTCAGGTCCAGCACCTCCAGGGACACGGCCTGCGTCCAGGTGGGCAGGCGGCTCAGGCGGTTCTCGGCAAGATTGAGCCGCTTGAGGCAGCTGAAGCAGGGCAGGTCGACCTGCAGCATGGCCAGCCCATTGCCCTGCAGGGCCAGGACTTCCAAGGAGGCTTCCAGGCCAGCCAGGGCCCCTGTGTCCACATCTAGCCCAGGGTTGGCAGAGAGGTCCAGCTCGGTCAGGGGGGTGTGCAGGAAGGTCCCCGCACGGAGCACCTCCATCTCATTGTCAACCAGGTTCAGGACGCGGAGGGAGGAGATGCCCGAGAAGGTCACGCAGTCCGAGAGGCCAGGCCCGCTTGGCCCCCCGCAGGGCCTGACCCGGTTCCCCTGCAGGTTGAGCTTCTGCAGGCTCGCAAGGCTGGCAAAGGTGAACTGGGGCAGATCCTGCAGGGCATTGTCCTGCAGGAACAGCGTCCTCAGCGACCCCAGGGCTAAGGCGCCCACCTCCAGTGCCTCCAGGGCATTGTGGCTGATGTCCAGGAGCACTAAGCAGGGCAGGGAACCGGCCTGCTGGGCCTCAAAGGCCCGCAAGCAGTTCCGACTGAGGTTCAGGAAGCGCAGGGAGGTCAGGTGCTCAAGAAAGCCCTCCGGGAGGAGCTCGATTTCATTGTAGCTCAAATCCAGGTTCAAGAGCTGGGAGTGGGGGTGGGTGCTGGCATTCCAGCTGGGGTTTGGGAGGGGCAAGGCTGACCAGCCCTCAGAAGGCGCATGGATGCCCTCGCCTCCCAGAGGAGGTCCTGCAGGGAGCCGGATGAGGTTGTTGGACACATTCAGGTAGATGAGTCTGGGGAGGGCAGCCAGGTCAGGGAAGTGCAGCAGTTTGTTCTCCCGCAGGTCCAGCCAGGCCAGCTGGTACTCAGCCTGGGGCTCCGGGGGTGCCATCTGAAAGGCCTCGATACTATTGCAGCTCAGGTCCAGCACCCGCAGCTGCTGGAGGCTGAAGTCAGAGATGCAGGTGAGAGAGTTCCTGGAGAGATTGAGGTGGGCCAGGCGAGGCAGGTCCTCGAAAGCTCCGTCCTCGATGTCCATCAGCACATTGCTGTGCAGGTCCAGCTGCTCCAGCAAGGGCGTGCCCCTGAAGGTGTGGCGGGTCAGGCGGGTTAGACTGTTCTCTGCCAGTGAGAGGGTGCACAGGACAGGAGCCTCCCCCAGCAGCGGCTCCACCAGGTCACTGTACAAGCTGTTCCCAGACAGGTCCAGGGACATCAAGCTCGGCAGATGACCTAGACCAGCGGTGCTCAGCGAGGTGCCCACCCCCAGGCAGTTATGGGCCAGGTTGAGGTGCTCCAGATGGAGCAGGGCCTCGAAGACACCAGGCTGAAAGAAGCTGATCTCGTTGCTGCTCAGGTCCAGGTGACGAAGCTCTGTGTAGAAGCCCAGGGGTGAGGTCAGGATGCCCCGCAGCTGATTTCCAGACATGTCCAGGGCCTTGATGTCCAGTGGGAGCACTGAGGGGACCTGGAGCAGACCAAGGCCCTGGCACAAGGCCTCCTTGTCCACCTGGGGAGGCAGGGAGAACAGCAGGCATTAGAGGTGCAATAAGGGTAGAACCAGACTTGGTCCTCTAGGGAGGATGACTTGATTCTCTGTCAGACTTGATTAGGCTTTTCTTCTGAGCTCCCAGCATATCTCACATTCCTAGTCACCCCAGCCTAGTCATGTCTGAATGACCTCCAGACATCCTCTCATGCCTGGAGGGCCCCCATCCCACTCCCTGCCCCTATCTCTGGGACCCAGTTCAGTATGGGGCATCAAGGAAGACCCAAAGAAGCTTTGATGAGTAGGTGGATAGAAGTAGAAGGACCAACGAACTAACAAAAAGACCCGTACTGAGTATTTTACAGGAAGCTGAGCCATGTATCACCTAGAATGATCCAGAGCCAGTGAGCAGCAGAGCCAAGCCGGGCCCCTGGCTGCCTTCCTTGGGCCCATACAGTTAGATTTACCCAGCTGGTGTCAGGCTATAAACTACTTTGGGAGAAATGTTTCTGAAAGGGAAAAATGAAATTTGCACCCCTGTCATCAGTTTTTATTTTGGCCTCCCACCCAGCCCTCATTTAAGCCTTCATTCCATGGGCAGAATTCCGGGCCCCAGCGCTTCCTCACTGATGCGCCCCAGATGTGACCTCCTTTCTGCTGTTGCTACCCTCCACCACCCCCTTCGGTGGCCTCGCTTCTCATGGTCCAGTCTAGATCAGTCCCTGGAGAGGGGAGTGAGTCTAAGGGGCAGGGGAAGAGAGGGCCAGGGTCCCCACCCACAGTCTTTGATGGCATAACTGATTTTTCTGTGCGAGCCCCATTGATCATTTTACCACTCTGATTTCTTATCTAGAACATAACTCATCCTTCTCCAGCACCTACACTGCATTTTATAGTTTATTGAGACTTCTAGGCCCCCTGTCTCAGTGAATCCTCGCCATAGCCTGCCCATCAAACATGATCAACCCTATTTATAGGAAGCCCAGCTCAGAGAGGGGAAGGGAGGTTGAGGATTGCAGCTTCTAAATGGTGAGCAACAGGGCTGGGATGGAACCCCGATGTTTTAACAACCAAAGGCTCCATTCTTGTCTTCCACCACGTGTGACTTCTGTGCAAACGCAGTTTTTCTCTTGCCTTCCCCAGGACCCCAGGAGCCTCAGGCTTTGCTAGTGAAGGGTCTAATTTCCACAACCTCCCAGCTCAGTTCCACTCCCGCTTAGGCCTCTCTGTTTGCACTGCCCCTTTCATGCTCACCTACCAATCAAATGCCTGGCAACCGCAAAACCCCACTCTGACATGCTGCCGCCTGCTTAAAACTCTGTAGCACAAAGTCCAGGACCTTCAGCAGGTCAGTATAGTGTTTGTGGCGCCTGCCAACCTGTCCCGTCTCCTTCTAAACCACTGCAGCAACCAATGTCCACCTTGCCCTCCCACACCCGCCTCTGGGTCTCCTCCTTGCTGTTCCCTGTGCTGGTTATACCATTCTCACTAGATCTGCAGAGAGAACATCTGTATGCTGAGCTCTGGGTCTCCTCCTCCAGGAAGTATTCCCTGACTGCCGCTGGGCAGGTCATTTCCACTGGGGCGTCCTCCTTCAGAGCCTCAGCCACTGAATTGTGATGCCTGTGTGGGGACCTGCTACACAGTAATCTCAGAACAAACAGGACTGGCGTGACTGAAGTGGATGCTTGAAACTGGCCCACAGAAAGTGCTCAGAAAACTTTATTAATGATTGGAAAAAGTCACAGGCATCACCCGCTTAGTTAAGGTCTGAAGGATCGACTCAGTCACCTTTCTAAGAGGAAGACATGGGATTATCCAAATATCTACACTGGAGTCAAAGGCCATTAGAGCAAAAAGATGGGGAGATTGAGTCTGAAGATGGCAATGACCTGTATAAGGTCACAGGGAGTGAGCGGCTAAGCCAGTGGGGCAAACACCAGCCTGGGTCTTCCCAGCCTAGCCCAGCTTCCCACTTCATCCCCAGAGCCCCAAGTGCAGGGGTGAAGGCAGGAGGGGGACAGAAATGCCCTTCCTCCCATATCCTCACTGGTGCCCCTGCTCAGGCATCTGCGTGACTCTTCCTATTCAGTGCAGCACAGCGGCTGACACTCCAGGGGAGGTTGCTGCATGGAGTTTTGAGACCCGGGCAGATCTATTGTACCCCTATTGTTGGGTACCGCTGTATTGTTGAGTACCCATGTAAATAGGAAATCTACCCCAACAAACTTGCCAGTCCTGCCTGGCTCCTGCCTCCTTCATCTGTCCCGATCTCTCTGCCAACTGGAACCACTAGGTAACACGCTTTCAGTCCTAGCCTCAGCTTCCCAGACCATCCTGACTGACGCAGTGTCGCCGGTCTCCCGGAGCACCAGCTCTGGGCCAGGCTTGGTCTGTGCATAGATGATGAGGCTCATTTCATCCTCCCAGGAACTATTTATTCCATCAGACCCTCAAAGAAAAATGAAGTTCAAGGGGGGAGGCTATTATAAATCAGATAGCCAGAGACTCAAAAGTATCACTGCAAACCTATGCTTGCCAGTGCCAGCCAAGTTCTGACCACAGGCTCGCAGCTGGATGGGCTCCCGGGTTGAGTCCTTCGTGGGCACCATTTCCTGGGCACTTACTTGGGGTGGATAAGATATATGCTTCACACTGTACCCCTTGTGCAAATGCACACCTTGTTTCACCTCTGGGTATGCAAATGTTCCCTGGGGTACCAGTCCCTGAGAGTTGAGCTGGGATACAAGTGGGTCAAACCCAGAGTCTAAGATCTACTCTCAGCCCAGGTGCCGGGTACCCCTGCCACAGACCTAGAGAGGCTGCTTTGGGCAGGGTTGTGGTGGGCTGCCTAGGAGGGAGCCAGAAGGCCAGGGAAGCTCTCAGAGCTGCAGTCAATGGCCCTCCTGCTCCCTGGGCTCCAAACTCCCAGCATGACTATTTATAACCAGGCCCGGTACTTCTCACAACTTGCTGCCTACTCTCTCTGGAATGCCAGGAGGTAACTGTCCAGCATTTTTTTTAAATAGGGAGAAGGACTTGCCACCCCATTCCCTTTTGCCACCTGCATGCAGAAAGGAGCAGGGAAGGAAGAGTCTCTGGCAATGGACAGACAGCATGAGCCCAGGGGAGCCGGGTCAAATCCTGCCTCTACTACTTCCTATGTGTATGACCTGGGGGGCCACATCACTTCTCTTGGGTTCAGTTCACCCAGCTGAAAAGAGGTTTTCTGGACAGGGTAAAGTGAGAGGGAGCCCTTAGTACAGTGTGGCACCCCAAGAGCCCTCTGCATGTGGCAATCTCTTTTTACTACTTTGAAAATCTACATAGCTGCAGAGTATGTTGATTTTTCCATGGTAGCTCTGATAGTTGAGAGCAAGCTTTCCTGTCTGTGGTCTCATTTGCCAGGAGTCAAAGCTCATCCAGCTTCCCTCTGCCTGTGGGTGGCCTGGGCCTTCGCTCCCAGCCTGTCTCCCCAGGTAGAATTCGGGATGGCACGTGGTGCCACCCAAAGCCCTCTCCGCCTCATAGTTTGGAGTCTGGGAATCCCAGAGGGGCCCTGGGGGCAAGAAGTGAGATGGCAACGGCAGGAACTGCAACCCCCAGGAGAGGCTGCGGGCCCCTGGCTGCCAGCTCTTCGGCCTCCAGAAGCACCTGCCCCTCCTGCGTTATGTCAAGAGCTTCCAGGCCCAGGTCCAAGTGAGCTGCTGGAGGGCCCAGTCCAAGCTCCAGCCTTGACCTCAGTGACTGCCCAGGCCTCCCTCTCCCCTGAACCCTGCAGGGGCAGAGCAACTTCAGGATGGTCTCCCTGACTCAGGGCAGGAAAAAGGAACAGAAATAAAACAAACCTGGTACCTACTTTCAAGAAGTTTTTGGTCTGGCAGGTGAGAGAGGCTTAGACCCATCACCAACTACCGCACATGCCCAGTTTTGAGAAAGAGGGCAGCTTAGCACTTTAGAAACCCAGGGAAGGGAGCAAATAGAATCAGTTCAACCTAGAGGGGTCACAGGCTCCCTAGAGGAGTAACGAGTGAGGTGCTTACCCTGCCTGGGCAGGGCTTCTTACCATCTTACAGGGCATCTTGTCTCGGTGTTGGGAGGTAGCCAGGCCCAGAGTCAGCACAGCCAGGAGCTGCAGGGTCCGGTGGCTCATGGCTCTGTATAGAAGACAGGGTGGAAGGATTGAGAACACGGTCAGATCACTGTCTCCTTCCCACTACCATTCCCCTCCCCCCCAGGCCCCTCCCTCCCCCACCCCCCCATTGGCATCTGCCATCAGGGACCCCCAGATCACAGTTGGAGCTGGGATAGAGGTTCTGTGGATATAGCAAGGAGTGGGGTGAGAAGTGGGGCCGTAGCCCACCACAAAGGGCTTCCAATGTCAATCCAATTTGCTAAGCCACTTCTCTGGGTGCAGGAGTTGTTCAACAGCAGCTGAAGTTGTCAGATTCGGATTTCAAAAGACCCCACCTGGGGGAAGACAGCCTGGAGGTGGGGAGTAGGAGCAGAAAGAACCTATGTCTGCTCTGAGCCAAGCTCAGGGCTGGGGTAAGGTGACGTGGGGAGCTGGGCCTCTGGATCCACTTCCACCCAGGTCATAAGCAGGTCCCCCATCCCTGGGCCCCAAACGGAATTCCTTAATTCCCCCACCCTGGACTTTTATTTTGCCCTTTTTCTTTTGATTTTCTGATACTGGAGTCCCTGCCATTGTTTGAAGGCTGGGCCCAGAGCACTGACAGGAAGCCCGCCAGGAGGCCAGCCCTGCCCCCAGGACTGCTACCCTGGACTTCCCCAGGAGCAGGTGGCCGGGCCCATTACTTTCACTTAAACCTCAGGCATCACGCAGGGGACACCAAGGCCTGCTGGTTCAGCCCTTCTCCCAGAGGTGGGGTTTAGAGGGATCACAGAGACCTCAGCAGGATGAATCCTAGTGCTGGTAGGGGCTTCCTAACTGAGGACCTGGGTTAAGTGTCAGGAACACACAGATCGATCCATCAATTTCATTCATTCATTCCTATCTTTATTCCTGGTTCTGCATTGGGAAGTGAGAACACATTCACTGAAAACGATCATAAAACCTATACTGTAACAAGGAGGGGCACATAAAGCCCTCAGGAGCACTGGGCTCTTTTCTCTCCTCCCTGGCTGCCCCTCTCACCTCCTCTTAACCTGCCATGTGACCTCGAGCATGTTACTTCACCTCACTGAGCCTCAGTATGTTCTATGACAGTGCAACTGACAGGACATTAATTATACACCACTCACCCTCCCCGATATTTTACTTGCGTTCACGCAATCTTCACAATGATTCCATGATTCGGTTCTATGATCCCCATTCTCACTGTGCAGACGGGGAAGCTGAGGCTCGGAGACATTAAAGAACATGCAAGGTCACACAGCTAGCAAGTGGCAGGCGCAGGCAGTCTGGCTCCTGGGTCTGTGCCCTTAACCTCTACATTATAAGGTCTCCAGAGGTGCTCAATAGGTGAGCACTGAGTTGTGACTCTGAAGAATATTTTAGAAGAGGCACTTATAGGACCTTTGAGGACTGACTGTTGGAACCCACTGGCATTTTTGGTGATAAATTTTAAATGCAGATAGCTCTGCTCTGACATCCTTCCTTGCTCCAACATGCAAGGGCCACAGTAGTGGCTTTTAAACCCTACTCCCTGAGTTCCCCTCAGGGTCATGCTAACCCCGTCCTGCTGCTCACAGCTGCTTTCCACTCACCTGCATTACAGGTTGGGCTTTCACAGGAAATTTTGCTCTGCTGTTTAAAAACCAAAACATCACCGCCCGTCTGAAAGTTAGTGTACTCAGAATCAGGTACTAGTCTCAGTGGAAGCTTCGGGGCCGGCACTTCTTTCCATTCCGGCACTTCTTTCCATTTCGTCTCCCACTCTGGGTTCCAAATACCTCGGGTAATTTTCAGTCCCTGACCAACCTTTCACTGCCCCAAACCTCCACCTTCTCCTCTTTCTTGTGCTGGAAACATCCTCATGTTTTGGGTCTCAGCTTATATGTTACCTCCTCCAAGAAGTCTTCCTTGGTTCCCTAAGTCTGGTCTATACATGGCCCTTCCTATTAGCTCTCCCATCTCCCGGAGCCCCCATTGAGCACATGGAGCTGGGCACCATGGCTTGTCTCCGACTCTTCTCTCCTATGCGAAGCACCCCTAGAGCAGAGGGGCTCACTCTCTGGAATTCATCTCACACCACAGAGGAGGTCAGAGGATGCCCTGGGAATGGATAGGAGGAGTCTGGTGCTGGCGACTCCCTTTTCCTTCCTGCCACATTCCTTCTCCCCATCAGGGGGTTCTGTCTGCTCTCCCTGAAAAACAGCCCAGATCTGCCTACCCCCGTCTTCCTTCACTGTCTGAGTCACCACCACGATTCTGAGCTTCCACCACAGCAACACCCTGACCTCTCACAGTCTATCCTACACATAGCAGCCTGCGTGATGTCTTTATGTCAACTCTAAATCAAGGACCTGATCATGAATCTCTACTGCTTGAAAGCTTCCCCAAAAACCCAAGCTTCACACAATTGCCTCCCTGATTCCATCTATCATTTTCTGTTGCCTCACCAATTCCAGCTTTCTCACTGTTCCGCAGACACAGCAAGTGCATTCCTGCCTCAGGGCCTTTGCCCTGGGGCTCCTTCCACTGGGAATGCTCTTCCCCAGATCCTCACATGTTTTATCGCTTTCCTGGCATTGGTAATTTCCTGATGATTTCTTATTCTGTGAGAACAGGAGTATTAAGCAGGTTCTCACTAAGCTCTACAGTGGGCTGGTGGTGAGTGCGAGGTGAAGGCATGGATGGGCCTGGATTTAGTACTGGACCGGAGGCAATACTTTCTCCTCTTCTTCCTGCCAGATCCCACCCAGTTCCCAAAGCAGGCATCTGCAGATCCAGCAGGGACCAACCTTCTCGTACCCAGAATTTGCCCTGGGAGCTGACAGGACGAGGCCCCTCAGCAGTGGGCACCCATTGGCAGTGCCCAAGACACTGTGGGTAGCATTGAAAGGCAAGAAGGAGAACTGGAGTAACGCAGAGACAGTTCACATCCAGCCTCTATAGCTCGCCAGCCTGGGGCTGGTCCCTTAATCTGTCAGTGCCTCAGTGTCCCATTTGTGGGCCAGTAGCCTGGTTCAGGTTCTGCCACTGGCCACCCTCAACCATTGTGGTGGTTAAGCTGAGAGTCCGTGAATGTGTCCTGGACACATGTTGTCTTTCTCAGCTGGGGCAGCGACACACAGGGCCGAGCAGCCCATGTGAGGCATGCTGAGGAGGGGAGCCCAGGCCTGCAGACAGGGGGCTCAGGCAAGAGGAGGCAAGTAATATCTCAGGACTCTGGCTGGGAAGAGAGGCATACAAAAAAGAGGTGTGTGTGTGTGTGTGTGTGTGTGTGTGTGTGTAAGAGAGAGACAAAGAGAGAAAGGGGAGGGAGGGAGGGAGAAAAGGAGAGCGGGAGAAAGGAGAGAGAAATATGGGATGGGGGACAGTGTCTACAATTATCATAAGCCCATTTGTACCATTTAAGGGTGTTGGACACGCTTTGAAATGCTTGCCCCATATTATCTCATTTAATTTCCACAACAACCCAATTAAATAATTACTATAGTTTCCACTTTATAGATGAGAAATCTGAAGTTACTGACCCAATAGTTACCCAGTTCAGAGTGTTTTGGGATTTAGTCCAGGTCCACATGACCCAAATACTGTGTTTTTTCTAGCAGGTGCTAAGTAAGCTGCCTGCCCTGTAGAGAAACGTCTACAATTTACAGGAAGAAAATGAGGCTCAGAGAGGTGACTTACCCAAAGTCACACGAGGCAGTAAATAGCATTCCGGATCAGAACACAGTCCATCTGCCTCCAAAGGAAATGGTAGGAAGTGGTTCCACCACATCAGGCCAACATCTCCCTCCTGGCTCTCCAAGCCCCCTTCACCCCCAGCAGGCGCACCAGCAGGCAGCCTCCCAGGGCTGGGCTCTGAGGTGCTTCTCTCCCTCCTCTCAGCCCCATCCCTGGCCAGCGGATGCTGCGAAGGGCGCTGTGAATCACCAAGGGCAAGTCCCATCTGGAGACATGTGCATCCCACGGGGGAATTAGACCAGAACCCAAAGGAATGTAGCTGTGATGGTGGAATTTCAGACAGCTCGGGTGGGGGTGGGGGTCCCTCAACCACCCCCCCACCCATGAAGAAGGCTGACTTCCGAGGTTCTAGGACAGGTGGGTGCCCCCACTCCGTGCCACAGGCAGGCTGTCCGGGGCGTGGGGTGGGACGCCTCTCCCAGGCCAGGGTCAGAGGGTGGCAGGAGCCCTGGGTTCAAATCCTCTTCTGCCCACCTAGCTGCGGGTCCCGGGCAAATGCCAGTGTTTCTGCCCGTGTTCCCCCATCTGTCCCTCTGCGGGGACGAGGCTCGGGGCCAGCAGGCGCGCAGACCTCTCCGGGCCAGGGCGGGTCCACCCGGCTCCACGCGCGGAGTGGGGGCGGCTGGGCCGAGACTGGGGGGTGGGCGCGCTGCACCCTCATGAATTAGCCCCAGCCCCGCCGGGGCTCTGCGCGCGCGGAGGGCGGGGTGGGGCTGGGAAAGTGGGGCGCGGGACGGGGGTCCCCCGGGTCGGGTCAGCCTGGCCAGCCGGCGGCTCCTACCTGGCTCAGCGCGGCTGCCGCTCCGCTCCCGAACAGCACCGGCACATTTTGCGCAAACCCGCCCGCGCCCAAGTCCCACCCGGCGCCAGACCCCGGGGTCCCCGCGGAGGAGGCTCGCGGCCGCGCCACTGCCCCACGGGAGCCCGACCCGCGAGGGGGCGGCGCGGGCTCCGATTTAAACCCCGATGCCGCGACCCGCCCCACCACGCCCCCGGCCCGGCGCGGGGTCCTAGCGCCCGCACGGCGCGCCCCGCAGACGCGGGTTATCTGAACCCCGGGGGTGGGGGAGCATCTTCTTCACGCTGGATCCCCGCTGGGAAGGCGGGGTGGAAGGGCCGGGGGAGCGCGCCGGAGGGAGAGGGGTCGCTGAGAAGTGGGGTGCCAGCGCGGTGCCGCCCTCCGCCCACCCCGCACGTGCAGCCCGCGGCCCGCGGCGTCGGGGTGGGGGGGGCGGGGGTGACTCCAGGAGTCGCAGGTCCGCGGAGGAAATCCGGGCCGGGGCGCTTGGGGGGCCGGGGGTGGGGGTGCAAACAGGAGAGGTGACTGGGCCGAACGCGGAAGGAAATGACCCTTCGCTGGCCCTGGGGCAGCCACAGAGGGGGTTCCCCGCACCGTGGCCACATCCCCTCCGGCGAGTCCAGGCGGGTCGCTTCCCTTCTCTGATGTGCTCTAGTGTCCAAATTCATCCTCTTCCACCTCCTCCCAGGACCCATCAGCCACCCTGTGCGGCAGGACTGTCACTGTCCCGCGCCTGGGGAAGAGGAAAGCAAATATAAATAAAACCCAGGGGCTTGGGACTGGTAAGGTCCCCGCCTATATTTGGGGAAACAGAGGCACGGAAAGGTTAAATGGCATATCCAAAGTTACACAGCCTATAAGAGGGAGGGATTTGAACCCATTCTGCCCCAAAATTCAAGTCCCTTTGCCAGGCACCATTTTGCTCTAGGTGTTCTACAGCGCTGCACACAAGCCCAGCGATTGTCTCTTCAGCTGCCCGCCCAAAGGAAGCGCTTCCTTTTCCACCAGCTCCAAAGCTGCCCCCTCTTCCTGATGCCTGGGCCCTACCAAATCACTTGTGCCCTGCCCTGCTGGGGGGGACCCCATGGGAGTGGCTGGGAGGAAGATCACAGCTGTTCCCCACTGCCCTGGTTCAAAGGGCAGAAGGTTCCTCTTCCATGGTGTTCCTCTTCCCTTGGTGCTCACCAGCCCTGAGAATAGCACAGGGGGGCCCATTTAACAGATGGAAAAGTCACACCCCATCCCCCAAGCCTTGTGGCAGATCAGAGTAAAGTTAGGCTTAGATGCTTGGTTCCCTGAATCCTAGAAGGCCGCTGTCTTTTCTTCCTCCGGGCTGGCTGACTGTGGGGAGGGGTCTGGGGAGAGAGGGGCAGCCTAGAGAGGAGTCCCTGTGAGAACAGTGGCCCAGGGCCTAACCTAGCCTCACAGGAGGATTAGGGAAAGCCTCCCTACGAGGCCTTGGGCTGCAGTAGGGAGATGGGTAGGAAAGGTTTTAGGCTAGAAAGGGTGCCCAGACCTCCCCTTCGCTCCCAGCTCTCTGGTCAAGGAGGTCCCAGCTGGTTGTCCTTAACCCCTCTCTGGTCAAATGGAATTTCAGTCTCCTTGTGTGTGAGGTGGGAAAATTGTAGCTCCTTCTTGAGGTTGGTGCCAGATTTAAGCATAATGGACCCAATCTGTGGCCTGCACCCAGCAGATGTGAGGTAACTCCTCAGTCTTTGTTTCAGGGACTGATGATACCTCTGCTAATACTGTGCAGGCTGCCTTTTCCAGATCCTTGTCCAAGGGGCCAAACGTCCAGGGTGTGCTTCACAGTGGCTCTGTAGCTCAGGCTCATGGCTGAGTCAGAATCAGGCTGTTCCAGGGCTTCCTAGCCCATCTGCTCCCTCTCCACCCAGGCCCAGGCTGCCTGAAACCTGTGGGCTGATGCAGAGCTTTGGCTAAGGCTGGGCTAGGGCCAGGCTGGGGCTGTGGCAGGTCAGGGGAGAGGCGGCCTCCCAAAGCCTGTGGTTGTGGTTAGTTCCACCTCACTCAGTACCCAGATGGGGCTCCCCAAGAGATGGAGACAGAAGAGCAACCAAGCTTGCCTACCTGTTGCAGATGGCCCTTGGGACTGGGGGTTACTATCTGGGAGCCCCACGTGTTCAGCACCTCTTCCTTCATCTCTTCACTTCTTCAACAGTCATGTTGCTATGACTTTTGGCACCTTGCTTGATCTTTCTGACCTTAGTTTGCTGATGTGCAAAGCGAGGCTAATAATAGCATCTGATATGCTGACTTGCTGTAAAGACCAAATGCAACAACCTATGTAAATTACATGGTGGGGGATTCCGGCCCATGGTACTTGTTCAGTAAACATTACCTCTCTCCCCTGGTGGGCCCTGGATAGCTGGTTAATAACAATGTCCAGAACACACCCTTGTGGAGCTCCCAGACCAGATGAGAGGCAGAGGAGCACGCAGGATGATTGAGTCCAGGGGCCTTGAAGGCCAAGTCCACGAGTCTGAATTTGACCCTGAGGAGGAGAAGCGGACAGGGTTTATTTTGCCCGGCAGTCATGCGGAAGGTAGCTTTCTTTTAAAGATCACCGAAGCCAACTCTTCATCCAGCTCTTGCTCGCACACCTGTAGGAATGGGCAGCTCGGTCTTCACAGTGTTGGTATTTTGGTAGAAATGCTGCTATTTCTTCATGAATCTGTCAGTGAAGATAGGAGACCTGTCTTTTCCTGTGTCTTCAGGACTACATTCTAGATGAGAAATCCTCTCAGGAACCGGGTTCAAGTTTCCCTGGGGGGATTTCATCTTGGGCCAGGATGAAACCTAAGTGTTCCGGAAGGAGTAAGTGGCCCAGGAAGTGGACCATGATGAGTTCATCTTGTGTGACCTAGGCCAAATCACTAAGCCTCTCTGTGCCTTACTATACTCATGTTACCATAGACTGAAGTGGGAAGGCCATGACATCCGAGACCCCAATTTAGTTTCCCTTACTCTTTGCTGAGCACCCAGTGTGGGCCAGTCCATCTCATGCAGCAAATGAGGGTAAAGACGGCCACAGTGAGGTGTCTTTATTCTCAATTACTGACAAGGGAGCTGGGGCACAGAGATTAAATGAATAGCCGAAGTCACACAGCTTCTGGAGCCAGGAACATAGTTGTACAAACGCCCAGGCCAGAGCTCCAACAAGGATTCTCACTCCCTGGCCCTCCCTGCACCTCTGTGGGTCCCTGGAGATTAGGGAGTACCCTCATCCGCACCTCTTGGACCCTGCCTTCTGGGACAGAAAACTGGGTTTCCTAGTTCTTCTCTTGCCTGCCCTCCCTTGTTTCTTAGGGCAACCAGGTTCACACTATAGAAGCCAAGTCCTGCAGGAAAGAACAGCAGGGTTTTGCTGAGTGTCAGCTATAGGGAGTTTGTGAGCTCAAAGCCAGGTTTAGGTGCTTGGAAAATAAACACTTAAAAATGGGACAGCGGTGTGTCCCTTGCTCTGAGGCCCAGCTGAAGAGTTAAGTAGAAATGTTAAGCCTTTCAGGACAAGGTACTTGCATGATCTCCTCACAACCACAATGAAGAGAGGATCCTTGTGCAGAGGGAAGGGGGCGGGAAGGGGGCCCAGAGGGAGTCTGTGGGTACGCAGCTCACAGGGCAGGCACAGCAGCAGGTCCTGTCTGCGTCCTCAGGCTCCCAGGCCCTTGTCCATGGCCAGTGAGGGCTTGGCTGTTTTTCTGATTTCAGTGGGAGCACAGGCCAGCCTCAGGGAGCACTTGGTGTGAACAGTGTAGGGAAGCAGGTGTTAGTGAGGCCCTGTGTACCCTCAGCCACACAGGAAGCTCCTGGCTCTGAGTTTGGTCATGGAGAATTGGGCTGAGGAGTCCAGCAACTCCGGGAGGTCCCACAGGAGAGGGGGGAATGAGAGATGAGAAAATTCAAGACCGAGCGAAGCAGGCAGGGCCAATCAGAGCACATCCACGGCATGACCGGGCCCTGCCACAGGCCATGAAACCACAGCTCTTGCTGCTCCAAGGCTGCTGGGAACCTGAAGGTCCCTTTGCGCCAGCAAGCACTTTCCTTCATTTAGCCAGTTGAAGATTAGCCCCACATACCTTTTTCTTGATGATCTAGGGTTCTCAGTATGGGCTCTGGTGTGGTCCGTGATGTCTCATAAGGCATAGTCACCACGCTAACAACAGCAACAGCCAAGCCAGGGTGGGACCGCTGCAAACACTCACCTCACTGGCAGGTGAGGCTGCCGGGGACTGCCGGCCACAGGGAGCTGGGGGACCGGGGAAGTCATTCTCACCAGTTGTCTGTTTCTCACTGGTAACATAGAGACAGCCTTTCTGCCAGCTTCAGGGGGAGGTGAAGGAACAGCGCGGTGGAAACGCTCGGGGAGTAGGGGCGTGTTGATCTCATCTGCTTCAAGTGAAAGAATGTGATTCTGTGGTTGACTGAACGGACCTGTTGGCAGATGGCTCATCCAGGGGTGGAAACCATGACTGGGAAGGGGCTGAGTCAGAGGGACCCTGGTGCTGTGGGCTCAGTGGGCCCGTGGCAGGGTGGGCTCCAGGCTCCTTAGGCAGGGCCCAGCTCCCGTGCAGAGAAGGGCTATGGTCCAGGCAGGACATCCGTGGTGGGGGTATCCTGCCTCCCTGGAAGACCCTTCTGAACACCCCAACCCTTCCCTATCTGGAGTCCCTCACTGTGTTGAGCTCCCCAAGGGCTGCGGGTTCCTGTTTTCCTCAGGGCA